TTTAATAAAAAACATTCTAAGTCGTTATAAGGACTTTTACGCTATTTTGAATGTTTAACATTTTCTACCTTTCTTTTTATATATAATAGATGATTGGTTTTTTTATTATATAGAAATTATACTTTTCCTAATAAGCCCCTGTTAAATTACTTTGATTAATAAGTGTTTGGAGCTTCACCACTTTGACAGTGCTCACTTGCTTTCTCAGTTTGTCAAACAAACGCGGATGTCTCACGGGACCCACACGCAGATTAAGGTTGGATCCTATAGGCGATGGTAAAAATACAGTTGGCGAGGTATGTGGGACCCATGCCCATAATATATCAATACTGGGCATTGGTGGATCACCGGATCATCAGGACACTTCTTTTTTTGGTTGGGTCAGAAATCATCTCTAGGAGTTCATCTTGGTGGATCCACATTGGTCGTTTGATGGAGTGGAAATTATGGTACGGCGATGTGAAAATTTCATATTATATGTGGAAACAATTTTAATTATCAACTTCCATAAGTTTCTTTTTTTTTTTTTTTTTTTTATAGTAAATTTGGCTTACAAACGATTTTTAAAAAAAATCAAAATGATTACTCCAAACCCAACTAATGCATAGCTATCATAGTCTTCTCTACCACATTATTACATCCTTCCAAGTTGGATCAAATACCATTTGCAGAAGCGCATCATAAAAGTTGATTTAATTGGGATCCAATTTTGACAATGTGATGGAGTGGACATGGGAGCAAATATTTTCGCCTCCAATCACAGCACGTCATGTGAAAAAGAATAATATTCCTTAAATTAATTAATTGAACCAATTTAATTAGCCAATTAATTAATAGGGATAATATTTTAATTATATGATATTATCTTTATTTAATAAGATAATATCATTAATTCAGATATTATCCTAATAAGAATATATAGTTATCATCAAATTAGGAGATTTGGATCCCAATCAAATCTCTAATGGACTCAATCTCTACAATTTGGGTAAAGAATAAACTCCTTCCTAATAAGAGTTTTATTCTCTACGAAACCCTAGCCTTCGAGGCTCCTATAAATAGATGACTACATTCATCATTCAAGGTACTTCTAAAATTCGAGAAAAATACCCGAAGCTCTCTCCCTCTCTCTCCCTAGCCGACGGCGACACCCTTGCCGCCGACCTCTCCACTTTCTCCTCTCCATATTTTCTCCACACAGCTCCGGCCACTACACATGGCTCCGACCACCCGGTTCTCACCCTAGAGAAATCTCCGTACCATTTTTAACTATTGTTTCACCTAGATTCAATAGAAGTAACTTAGTCATCGGAGGGCCTTTAGCCAACACCCTCCGGGTGTGGTCTATTTACTCTAGTCTTTTTTTTTTTTTATACAGGAATCGATGAAGAGAGAGAAGGAAGATTAAAAGGCAAAGGATCTAGAAGCGAATATTCTCCCGCGAGATTATTTACACAAATAGTGAACTTGCTATAAGACTTTGAAATGGTGTGAAAAGCTTGCTTAGCCAATATGGCTGCAGCTGTATATTTATAATGAATGTATTGATAAGTACAAGTTTGAAAATAAGAAAGTTGTTCCTACAAACCAGGATATCAGCTATTAAGTGATAGAGTTCTATACAACACAAAGCTCCTCATTCAACAGAACCTGAGGATAAAGAACTAACATTCAAATTCAAAAGCTCAGTAGACTTATCCACGTCAGGCCTTAGTCTAACAGCCCCCCTTAAGCTGAGTGGTCCTTGGAGAACATGAAGCTTGAAAACAAGTGTTTTGAACCGAGAAGAACTGAGACCTTTAACTCAAGAGGAAGAATGGGTTGGGGTTATTAATTATACATCTACCTCCATAGAATTGAGATTACTGACACTACCAATAATGCAATGAAACGGATGATAACATTTTCACGTGTCATTGTGTTATTGGCCAGAGATTAAAAAACAATGTTATCCCCCGTTATATGTAAATTTTTATGTTAATGATGGGGATTGTTCCTTGAGGGCATTGTCCATTATTCTTGAAGGGCTCGTTTGGTACACCTTCTAAGCTTGGATTGGACTAGACAAATTTTTATCTCATGTTTGTTTTCACTTAGTTCTAGTTTTAAGTGGGACTGTTAATACTGGCCCCACCAAAAACACCTCCTTAGGTGTTCTTAGTGAGACCCGCGTGGAGAGGGGGGACAAGCTAGTCCCAACCCAAGCGCTTGCAACAGCCAAGCCCTTGCCGCAACCATCGACTACCCAAGCGCCTTCCACAACCATCGACCACCCAAGCATCTGCAACCAATCCAAACCCCCACTGTCACAGCCATACGCAGTGACCCCAATACAGCATCGCAGTCAATTCCAGTCAGTTTCGGCGAGCACCAATTGGAGATAACGACTTCGCAGCTTGAACTATAGGTTGTGGACACGGCGATTGTGCAACGATGGTGAATGTGAGATGATGATGACTGTGCAAGCAGAGGGAGAAGTAGAAGACAGAGTATATTGAGAAGAAGCAAAGAGAAAATTTTCGGGGAAAAAAAAAAGGAACATAAAAAAAATTTGGGGAAAAAAAAAAGCAAATAGAAAAAATTTAAAAAGAAAACCAAAGAGAAACATATACTGAGAAGAAGAGGCAAAGGAGAGAGGATGGAGAAGAAGAAGAGAAGAAGAGGAGAAGGAGAAAAAGGATGAGGAAGAAGAAGCAAGTCACAGGAGGAAGAAGAAAAGAATGAGATGCAGAGAGAGAAGAAAAGTCAAAACAATAATATTAAATTCATATGATATGTTTTTAAAAATTTGAATTTAAAATATATATATATCTAGATTTGGTTATAAGACGAGAATTAAAGAGGGAAAATTGATATTTCCATTGTTTTGACAACTTAAACATGGAAATTATTAAATGACGGGCGAAAAAATTTGAGGCAATTGGGGGTCAAGATTCCTAAGTTTCATTTCCGCCAAAAAATGCGTCATTTCACTACTTCTATTGAGCATGAATTCGTTTTTCACTATAATTTTTGTCATTTTCAAAATTTGATGTTCATAAATTCAAACACTAAAATTGTTAATTGCCAAACGTTTAAACAATGGAGATCTAAATTATGTCATTTAAGAATTCTATGCAATTTTCAATTCCTTTATCCAAACGAAGAAGAATTTGAATCATAGAGGTCCATGAATTTATACCCAGAATTTCATTTTAGTTGGATACAAATTTAGGAATTATTGAAGTTAAAAATCCAAAAAAAATTATAATGGTTGACCAGTTGGCAAAATGATAGATAGGGATGATGCGAGAGTTAATGCCATCTGGTTTTATTGCTCTCGCACCTAACGAACCACCAGAATCCAGAAAAAGAAAAAACATGTCCCCAATATGCATTTCACCGACTAAGAACTAGAATGGCCCCAATAAAAGATATTTACAATGAATTGTCAAGGGGAGGAAGGAAGCAAGCCAAAGCAAGAGAGAAACATATGCCTTCAATTCAAGGACCACCGACATGATGTTTGCATTTTGGCCTTTTTCTAAAACTTGTCATGTCACCAAAGTTTTTCACTCCTGCATTAAGTATTTTTTCTTCAAAAAGTCAAATTTTGTGATTCTTTGATGCAAAAGTAATAGAAGGGATGATATATAAAATTACAACACACACACATATACTCGTATAAAAGAAAATATTTATAGAGTTTATATTTACAATAATACTATTTATACCACGATGGAGCTCTTAGCTCATTTCTATTAAAGGGATGACCAACAATATGATGAATAAGTGTGTACAAATAACAGCACTTGTATATTTATTTGGTGATAATTTACGAGACCATATGATGTATGGGGTATGTGCAAATGGCATGTTTTAAAATGAGTAGGGCGAGGAGGGTGCCAAATAAAGGCAATTGGATGATTACAAACACAAAAGCTCTTGAAGCAAAAAGATCCCAGTACCGACAGGGCGGCAAGAGGCAATAGGCAAGATCTTTAATTAAATTCAGAATTTTAAATTAAAATATAAAAATTGATAATGTTGGATCAACTTTCGCTTTCTGCTTAGATTAAAGGTTGTATGGTTGACCACGTTGTCCCATACAACTATGCAAAGAATAATCTCATTATTATTATTTAAATTGCAATACGACTTTATGTAATGAAAAATACTTCTCTCCTTATCAAGTAAGTAGGAGCTCCTATATTCCTGTCAATAACAATATGATATGTGTGTATAAATTTTTCTTTATGTGTTTTTGATAAATTATTTTTGCATATGTGTCAAATTGTGATTTCCAAGAAGGAGGAGTATTTCCTTACCGGTAAAGAGATAAGCAGCATACTTATGTAATTATGTATCGTGACAAACTAGAATTATATTAAATGTAATACAACTCACTTGGCATCACGTATTATTATTATTATTATTGGCATCGCTTTGTATTATAAAATTAATGTTGCAGAATTTTGTTTGTTCCCGTGGTTTTGTAATTAGGCATAGAAGAGTTTGCCGGATTTAGATCTGATCCAGCCACTGACTGCTTCTACATGAACTCAATTTAAATTATGATCACAAGATCCTACTTAGCACCTTCCAAATAACATACTCAACAGAAAAAGTCAGCTTCCCATATGGATAAAGTCAAAGGAATCTGATCAAAACAATTGCTGTATACAAGTAAAATTGGGGGAAGTTGGCTTGGACCATGTACATTTAGTTTGGCGATATCTTACAGTTCGACCCTGAGGTCAGGACAAGGAAGAAAACAAAAGGCTCCTAAACCCTAAGAAAACAAAATGCTATATAGAAAACTGCCGAGGCAGCTAAATTAACAACAATTAAACACACAGACAAAGTTCTTTGCAATATAGCCACACCAGAACTTAGTTTGTAATTAGTACAATGGGGCCTAAAAGCCCAAAATAAGAAGAAGCAAAGGGGATATTAAATCTCAGAAAGCCCAACACAAGTTTTTTCACAGGGGCTCAAACCTCATCCTGGTACAGCCTTATCCCTCTCTATCTCCCTCTCTCTGCAGTCTGCATGCTGAAAGAGAAGAGAAGCATTAAGCACCCAAATTTCACACATCAAATTCGAATACATTACTAAAACCAGCAATGGTTTACGCTCTGTTCACATCTCTAGCTCAATCTTCATTTTCAAGTTTCTCAAACTCACCCAAGCTACGTTCCTCCAAATACCAAAGCCATGGCCTTTTTCTCAACGCCCACAATGGCTTTAACGCCAAGTTTTCTCCACGCCAATCAACCCAGCTTACAAGGCTCAGATATGTCAGAAGGTCGCCTTACATTTGCTTTTTCAATGGCGGAGGAAAGCCCAAAGGCGATTTACAAGAAAAGGTTATCACTTTTCAGCTTCAACTGACTCTCAGTTGACTCAAACAAAACGACTCTGATAAAAAAGGACAAAAGTAAACATTTTTTTGGTGAAATTCGCAGGAAACTGGAGCGCAGTGGCAGATTTTGAAGCGATGGGAGGTGCCCTGGGAATGGCAAACAGTGTCCTTAACATCACTTGCTTGTGGACTGAGGTGGGTTCTTAGTATTTAGTCTGCCAATGCTCATATAACTATGTTTAATGCTGGATTTCACAATTCAGAAGAATAAGATTAATTTTTTTCCCAGGCAGTTTTATTTTGACAGGATTGGTAGAGACAGCAGCTATACCGTATTTAGGACTTCGAGTTCAAGATTTGAGTATAGATGAAAAGGCAGAGATACTGTTTCTTGATCAAAGGTACGTATTATCACATTGTAATTCTATTTGTAATGCTGTGTGTTGGATTGAGAATTTTATGAGGGTCTAATTGGTTCAGTTATTGTTTTGCTAGTATTACAACTGCAGCTGTACTTGCAGTTCTGTATACTGTTGCCAGCACTTTCCAACCGCTGCCTCAAGACGTTTATCGCTATGGTACTGATTTTTCCAACTCCTTTTTTACTTTATAATAAGACAACAAAGACACAAACACACACACACACAGAGGTGAGAAAGAGTTCATGTTATCCCATTTTCTTGTAGTTGTCTCAATGAGATAACACTTGTTGTAGCTTATATATGGACTGCGATTGATGCACAATACTGAATTAGGGATATTTGAATTTGGCTTGTAGGTCATTGTAACTACATGCTTTGTCATTAAGTAGAGACAGACTTTTACCATATAGTTGCAAAATTTATATTTGAAAGCTCATCATTGCCAGATTCTGGTTTGTTTAAGCCTATATCTAGACTGTGACCCATCTAGCTAATATTAGCTATTGCTTATTCAGATTTAAAGGACCCTTTCAGTCTACAGAAGGGGTGGCTTTTGTGGGCAGGGATTGGTCTTGCTGGTGCAATAGCTGCCATCGCAGTGACAGGGGCTGCCATGTCCTTGTTCACGGGGGAGAGCCCAGAGAGAGAGGTTTGAATTGATTCCTACCCTATGATTTCTCTCTCGTTATAAAGTGGTGGACACAAATTCTATGATTTTTCAAGATCAATTCCACCATGTAAGGAATCATATATGTGATTTTTATTAATTTTAACTTGGTTTCAGAAGGACGCTCTAGTTAGCTTGCTTCCACTGATTGGATCTTCAAGTGTCAGGTACTTTACAAGGTTTTTTAATTTTTGTGCATGTTCTGGGAATTATAGTATTCAGGCTTAGGTTTTGAAACTTTTCAGCCCTAGGACTTGAGGATTCAGCAAGTTGATTCAGCTGTTGTTAATCTTCATTGCAGCACTGCTTGCTTGCTAGGCATCACTGGAGTTTTGGCTCCAATTCTTGAGGAAACTGTATTTCGGGGTTTTTTTATGGTCTCCATGACTAAGTGGTATTTTTCCTTTTTTTTTGCCCTTTTATAGAGTTGCATAATATGCCTACAATGATTGATTATTTCTCTCTACATTGCTCTAAACATGCATGGTAGCTCCCCTAAACTTCCTTACAATTATTTCGAAAGTTTTCTCAATAATTTCTGTCCGTAGATTTTGTTATTAATTTTCATAAGTTTAAACTAGTTTGTTGGAAAGTAGAGGCTGGATTAACTAGTAGTCTGCCATCCAGGCGATATTGTTTGGTTCACTCCTAAAACTGCTTTGCTTAATTAATTAGCCAGATTCACAAAATTCTACAAACAAGAGTGAAGCCTGAAGAAGTGTAGAGGCTGAGAAATATATGGTAGAAGAAACTTCTTTTGTGGCACTTAGTAGTAAAAATAGCAGAATCATCCAAATATTTGATATAAGGTTTTGTTGAGTTGGCTAAGGATGGGATTAAAATTCCTTGGTTTTAGCTAGTTTTAGTATAGTTAGTTACGTTATTGGTGTCAACTGTTCGTTCCTGAGTATCTAACCCTTACAAGTTCTTTTTTGCAGGGTACCTACACCAGTTGCTATTGGAATAAGTGCAGCTGTATTTGCACTTGCACATCTCACTCCTGGAGAGTTTCCACAGCTGTTTGTGCTAGGTAACATATTTACTTTAAAAAAATTCAAAAACAAAAGTCTACATCACCTTCAACATACATTAATGTGGTTTAGATATCCCTGAGCACAATTTCTCTCATGTACCGTATGATCTATATAGGCTCTGCTCTGGGATTGTCATATGCTCAAACTCGCAACCTTTTAACCCCCATCACAATACATGCTCTCTGGAACTCAGGAGTGATATTGCTTCTGACCTTCCTTCAGGTAAACATGATGATTTCCGAGTATTGAAGTTATGACCCTGTATAATCTTTCTCAACAATGATTTGTTTTCAGTGTGGATTACTAAAACCGATCCTGCTTGTTGTTTGTGTGACAGCTACAAGGGTACGATATCAAGGAATTGCTGCAGACAACCTGATAGGAGTTGGAGTTTCTTTGTCATTGATGATACAGAGCATTTTCTAAGGGGTCCATAAAAGTTACAAGCGTCTGTAAGGCCTGCAAGGATTACTTAAAAGTTGCCGAAGTTTAGAATATAATTTTTTCTCTGGTTTTTGGTTTCTTGGTGGTGGTCACCCATATCCCACAGTCATGAGTTTGTATTTGAGACCTTGAACCTACTTTCGGTTCTAACAATGGAGACGCAGAACGGTGCAAACAAATGAATGGGTGGATCATTGATGTGTATATTGTGAATTGACGACGATAGTGAAGGGTTCAATATTATCCTTTTTTTTTTTTTTTTTTTGGGTTTTTTGTTGTTGCTGCACTCTTGTACTCTCGACAATATAATACCACTTAACTTATGAACATTAGGGTTAGTAGAATGGCTGAAAAGCATAAGCAGCCAAGTATCTTTTAATTAGCCTATGAGTTGTTGACTAAGTTTCAACGAAGTATTACAAATTAAATAGAAATTGCCGAGGCCTAGGTTCATATACACGTTTGAAATAAAGAACAAAAAAAGTATATATAATTAATTCATCGTGAAGTAAAATAACTCTAAAGAAATTCTGCAATTATGACATTAATTTAAACATTTTTAATTCTTTCAAAACCATTTTGTTATTTTAGTATAAACGACGGTCTAATTACATAATCAATATGACATGAGAGTTCAAACTTGAGACTTTTGGTAATCAGTTTGAAAAATAACCTTAATTCACATAGTAAGTGGACATTGTAATTATTTGATGAATAATAGTTTATTATGAAGATTAGGCAGCCGAGTAATTGGTTTGAAGTGAGTGTGGTTGGTAAAATTCATGATCCTTTGGTCCTTGGAGTTGGCCCTTTTGCAATTTACATGGCAGAGAGAGTTATGAGTGAAATTGAAAAAGGTTGGTGGGTTAATAATGTTCACATAGAAAGAGGTGAATTATGTATAGTATAGAATATAGATGCTTGGGGTTGAAGAGTTTGACCCTTTTTTTATTATAAAACTTTGGTTGCACGCTTGGGGAAGCAAATTCTAGGTCAATCAACAGACAAAAAGGGTTCCAACCGAGGGTTAGATTTTGGGGAGTTTCACTTTTAGTCCCAAAGTTTACCATTTGACTCTCAGTGAACCCTCCAACCACTAAAATACTTGCTATCCAACCCCTAGACATTGTTGGCAAAATCACAAGTATAATAATAGTATGACAATTTGGACTTGAAGCTAATTATATCACACATATAATTATGAAGAAGGTCCTTTCATTTAAAGGCATTTCAAACTCTAAATTTTTACTTTCGTTGTTTTTGAAACCTATTCATTTGGTTTTGGTTTTGGTTTTGGTTTTACCGAAGGCAATGAATTGAGGAATCCCACGCCCACATTTGGTTTTCCAAAGTCTACAAAATCAGAGAAATTTTAACTTACTTGCACATCTTGACTGACCAAAACATCCCATTAAATGAATAATTTACAGTAAACAAGTAGGGTTAAGTGTCAAATTTACAGTAAACAAGTAGGGTTAAGTGTACAGTACACTGATTAATTAATTAACTTATTAATTAATGTTTGAGAGAGTGTTATAACTTTTAAGCCTCTGACTGAGAAAGATACATAGGTGGAAAGTCAAACACATAATTTCACCATGTGTATGTGAAGTGTAACTTCTATTCAGAGCAAGTGGTCCAATAGCTAGTTTAACTTTAGCCAGATTGATTAACCTGCAGATTATGAGTGATTATGACACTAAAATAATTACAAATGTTCAACCTGACAAAGTCAGTGGAATAGAAGCTCTGGGAATGGAATAGAAACGGGATTTTTGGATTCTGAGAATCTAATATCACTTATAATAATTATTATAAATTATAAAAATGGGATCCTAATAAGTCCTCTCATAGAAACCCAATTCTAAAAATATTGTTTTTGAGAGCCTTTGGTGTTGGAAGTTGGTTCAGGTCCACGTTTCCAAAAACCAATTCAAACACCCTCATATTTAAATAAATACTAGTACTTAGCTTGGAAACTTTGCTTTGTCTTCATTTGCAATGGATAGACCGAAACTTCAACTATAAATATATAATATTTGAGAGAAATAGTTATTTTTCCTCTTTCTGTTGGTTCTGTATGAAATGGGATGATGCTAAAAGAACTTGCCTTCATCCTGATATTTTGTTTGGCTGATAAACATTTGAGTTAGTAATTAGACCCCTTTGTGTCGGACAAGAAAATTAATAGGTGTAGAGTTGAAGATGACGAACCAAGTCAGAAGATGTAAAGTTTTCTTTCAGACAGCTCTTTTCATTAGTTTAATTTTACATAAAGGCAGTGTGACGAGGCATTAGAGGGCTTCTCATGAAGTATGGAGATAAAAAAGCAATTAAGTGAAGTTGTTATTCATGGAGAGCTTTGGTGCTATATATGGTATGACTGCGGATGAGTTTAAAGTATGATCTGATTAATGGCTGAGATACCTGCTGGGATGTTGAAGGTTGTGTAGATGATGTCTTATTTTTCCCATGACCTACTTTTGTTCTCAATCATCATATTGATTGTAGATTGATAAAAAGCATAACTCAGCATACTTTTCTTGCACAAGGAACAACTAGATTATTTTAAAAGTTCATTCTTTTTTAGCAATTTGCATGCATTTGCATTCTAATAATGTATTTTGAGTTTGTTGAGTTGAACGTTCAATTGAATGTATTTTAGTGAGACAAATTATTAATTGAACTATTTCTCTTTGTTAAATTTTTTCAGGACTGTGAGCGCAGAGCACTAGTAAAGCTATGCCGGCATAGGGAAGAGCCATCTCCTCCAGGACCTCCACCTGTTACTTGATCAGTAATTATTATTTGCAGTTATTCTGGTAAGGTTAATTTGATGTTCAGTGTTTAGATTCCTAACACTTTTTGACTGGACATTAGTTTGGTAAAAAGCCTCTGGTCTGGTTCTATTTACCATATTCATCAAAGTTTATGAAAGACATTATGTGGTTTATGCAGGGATGGAGACTGAAGTGAAAACCAAGCAATGTTGTTGAGGACATTGGTAGGGAAGGGACTTATTTTCCTCTACTGTAATTTTCAGTTCCAACACATGAAGGGATGAGAGTCATTCTGTACTTTGTACTTTTTTGTTTATTATTATTTATGTTTGTTTGAATACTTAAAATGTAGTGAATAACTAAAAATATGTCCATAAAAGCAAAAGAGCCTCAAATAAAGTTACAAGGATTTAGGATTTAGCAGCTTCGAGTTTAAGGACACTAAGAAGGACATATCAACTTATCACTTGAAGTTTTGACGTTGGATTCCCGATCAACTTATCCATGGAACATCAGAAGTATTATGAACTACCCAAATCAAATCAAAGTTGAAAATTGGAGATGTGGGTCCAAAGACTATACTTAACATTATCAACAAGACAAAAAACCATCCACTGAACTGAATGAACTAGGTTGACTTATCCTTTTTGCCTTTTTTTTTTGTGGTCCGATGATTATCCTTTTGCTGTTATATTAACACGTGGGGGTGAAGACAAAGAAAAAGGGATTTTTCTTTTAATTATTACCTTTATTTTTATATTATTCAAGTTTCAAAATAAACAATAAAGCGCCTTTTTTCCTTTCTCTCAACCCAAACCCAACAGCTATTTTCTCTTCTCTCTTTTTTCTCTTCTTCCTCTGTTTTTTCCTTACTGCTTTCCCCTACGTGATCTGATCCTCCAAAGCAACCCATAGCATCATCTCAAGACCATCTCCTCCAGGTTGCCATCTCTTCCGAGGTATTCTTCCGCATCCCTCTATACCCATTTGACTGCTTTTCCTCAAGTGTCTGGTGTCCTCCAAATCTAGGTCTAACACTGTTTTCTTGATATGAATCTTTATGCTTATAATAATATGTACCAGGAGTTGGTTATTAGACTTTGTTTACATGTGGTCTATATTCTTGGGATATACACTGTTCCTGTCTTGTTCTTGCATTATGAAGTTTCCTTTATTCATGTTTTTGTTTTTAGAATTTATAAATTTACCCATATTGGAAATTCTCCTCAGCTGGCTTCAATTTTGGCAACCTTTATTGCATTTTTAACGTAAACAAGGCATGTTTAACAGGTCTCCTTTCTTGGGTGCATATTTGGCAAATTGTGGGACCTAATATCAAAGCTGAGGTAGTAAGTGGGTTAATTGGGTTGTATTTTGGGATTTAGGGGCCTGGGTTGAGAATTAGGGTTAATTGATTGCTTTGATAGCCCCTCTGGTCTGTTTTCTTCATATGCTGCACTCTTTTATTTGTTATATGTACCAAAAGTAGCTCTTTTATTTCTATTATAAAAAAATAAAAAAAAGGTAGCTGTCAATCAAGCTATTCCAGCCACCATATCCTCTCCTAATGAATCATCAAATCCCACCGATTGCTACCCTGCTTGAACTTGTGAATCACACTTTGTAATTTACCAAATATAGCCTAATTGAAAGTCAACTATATTCCTTATATATTGTACATCTGTATCAAATCATGAATCGATGAAAATCACATTCTTTACAGTAGCAGATAGATACAGAGGGTTCTTGATCTGAATTCACTCTTTTTGTCTTGTTTTTGGAATTTATAAATTTATCCCTATTGGAAATTCTCCTCAGTTGGCTTCAACTTTTGCACTTTTTATTGCATTTTTAACCTAAACAAGGCATGTTTAACACGTCTCCTATAGCAGGTGAGGGCCAATAGGATGCATGACCTTCCCATGCACCTTCTTGAGAGCATACTATCAGACTTACCTGTAAAGGAATCGGTGTCCATTAGCTGCATGTGCAAATCATGGCATGATGATTTGTGGAGCATTGTTTCTGCGGATGACACGTCTACATCTACTGAATCAGACTTCAAGAAGTCACTGGAGAAACTTCTTAGGAGTCCGTCGTATTTCCTTAACGTCAAGTTAAGATGCACAAAGTTCAAGAGGCACTCCTTCCTGCATGAGTTTCTTCGGGAACTGCTGAAAAAGAAAGTAATCATCCTGGAAATCGCAGTGGATCGTCATGAGGGTTTGGGATTTTTCCCCATCCCACCAGAAGTCCTTACAAGCATGCATCTTAGGGTCCTGAAGATAGCAAGCGCCAGAATTATTCTGCCTCCTCCAGGGACTTTTACGAGGTTGAGCGCTATAGAAGTCGATGTATCTCGGTCATCACACGCATCTATCCTTGACTTCTACAAGTGGTGTCCGGTTCTCCAGGATCTGCAAATACACGGAAAAATAATGAGACTCCCGGACAAAAAGCAGAAATTCCAAATAAGGTCTCAGAGTCTCCTTAGACTAAAAATAAAATTGCATCTTCATAAGATGCAGCTTGATAGAGGAAAAGGAGTGTACCTTGCTGCTGCAAACCTCTACGAAGTTGAAGTCGATGCCCCACAACTAGAAGTTCTGGATATAGATGAATCTGTTTTTGCCAAGCTTAAGGTTGGAAACTTCAAGTGTCTCCGAGAAGTACGGCTGCAAAGTGGCTTCTACGAAGCGAAGAGGCAGCTAGGAGAAGTGGGACAACTTCTCGTTCTTTCGCGAGAGGTATTTCATACGATTAACAAAGCGTCATTATCTACTAGCTGTCTGGTTGTGGGAGATGGTGCTTTCGGGGTATGTTTTAGTTTCTGTTTTGTATTTTTTGTTTTGAATGAAATGTACGTGTTGTTATTAATTGGTGTGCTGAATTTATCTTTACAGGCACTGAGTTTTACGTTTATGGACTATCTTTTTAGTGGTAATGAAGCTGCAATCCGGGACAAATTTCGAGTGACATTTCCAGATTTCCTTTGTGTCAAGAGCTTGAGATTGTGTATATCAGATTCTGCCGGTTGGTTGTTCATGCCATACTTGCTTGCACACCTTCCTAATTTACAGAAATTGGATCTCGAATTGGTAGATAGGGAAGATGTTCGAAAGGGCAAGAGATTTGATTGGAATCCCCCAAAATATTATGTGGGATGGTGCTTGGCAAGCGTTAAACATGTTCGATTGATTGGATTTGGTGAAATGATGGAAGAAGCCGGTCTAATATTAGCTTTTGTGAGGGAGGCTGCTACCGAAGAACGCTTTGAAAAAATAACCATCACCTATGAATAATTACCACATGCGATTCCAATTTATAGAAGATGATGCAGACTTGATTTTCACGGCCTAAGAAAGTTGACAGGGAGAACTGATCATGAGGAAACACAAATCTATATTGATTGTACCAGTATTATTAGGGAACCTCACTGCTTGCATAGTTTGTTGTGCCTTATTCTTTTGTTTTCTTCTTCGAATGAGTTTTAAAACTTAGTTGTGGAATTGAGGATTCATGTATCGAGATAAAATCTGACAGCAGCTTCAATTTGGTTTGAGCATCTGATATGGAGCAACTGTTATGGGGGCTTACTTGCTCATTTAGTCTCATTTTCACTAAATTGTTTTCCAGTTCCTGTTCATGCTGTAATGATCAACATTCTGGTGAGGTCATATTATTCGATCTCTGGTTAATAAATTCTCTGGTTTTTTTGTTTACAGCTCAATAATTTACGGATAAACTAGACTTGTGTTGTGTGTTGTGTGTTGTGTGTTGTGTTGATTTATCATATATGTGTTCTGAATCTCAAGCATTTATGGCCCAACAACCTTCTCTGTCTTGAATTACATCTTCACCTCATCGACATGCACAATTGCACATGCTTGTCTCCTTACCTCTACTCTGTCTTCTCATGCCATTGTCTTGTGTGTTTTGTAACTTATTATTTACATCCTGACAAGACAATTGGAATGTTTCTGAGACTAAATTCTACTCTGTGCCCAACAACAACACACAAATTGCAAAAGAATTACTGCTAGAAAGTTAGAAACTTTCTCTGCAGAACAGTCCCTTCATATTATTGTTTTGTCCATTTGGGCTTAGTTCTAGGAATGAAATGATAAAAGCTGCTAAAAAAAGTGTCCTGTTGTTGCAGTGTGCTTGCTATTTTTCTACATCCAAAAGACTGGTCCAGGCTTTCGAAATAGAAGGCACAAAATGGTCCAGTGTATTTATAAGGTAGTTGCAGATTTTGACTGAAGCAGCCTGCACATCCAATTATGTTCTGGCTGGCCCCCTTCATGGTTGAACTATTTTTTTGGAACTTATGGAATCTTTCTAGCCCCTGGAGGGTCCCTAAAGTAAAGCACTTTATGTGTGATTATTGAGTTACAGAATTATAAAGTTGCTTCTTCTAATAAAAAAAGGAAAAACAAATCCATCCCTGATGGACCTGATGGGGAGCTTTCTGTTCATACAATTTCTCTGCTCCATTTTGTTTCTATTAAATTTTGAGGCATGTGAAGGATGAAACAAGTGTAAAAGAGTTGTTAACTGTTTAACTAGTGTATGGTAGTTTAATTAGTTGAATGTGCTTTCCTTTTTTACAGCTTACACAGCCGACAATCAAAATGGATGTGGTCATTAAGTGCCTAGGGCTTTCTAAATTTGGTATATATCACCTCAGATGTGGTCCTCAGAGGAAAAATGGACAAGATGTTTGACAACTCAATCATGTTAGGTTCCAGTTTTGAGTTGCTTCTATGTGAAGAGCATTGAAAGTGGAGTGTTAAGGGCCTCAGGTTTGGATCACAAAGATACAAGAAAAAGAAAGCTCGATTTGTAGCCTTCTAAGGATGTCAGGGCAGAGGAAGCATTGAAAACTGAAAAGTAACTTTCCTATTCACGAACGAAGAAGGTGCCTCTCTGCACACTTGAGTCAAAGCCTGTCAAATTATTAGGGGACGTCTCAGCTTGAAACCTTGTTGCTGGCACGAATGATTCTGGCCTGCTGTGGCGCATCATCTGTTGGTCGAAGTTGGTCTTTTCATGATGATATGTTTTGTGGGCATCTCCTGCAACTTTGACAGATTTTTGGCTCTTACAACCCAATAGAGCCGCGGGACGATGCCTTGGAATATCTTTGTTCATTTTGCTTTGGCATTTCTGGTGTTGTTTGGAACCATTTTCATTGGACTTGGCCTTTGCTGATCTTCACAGTCTGGCAGTGACCACAATCCACTCCATGCTTGCCTCACTTGGGGCATAACAAGTTATTGGGGTCATGCAACCAGATGTTGCAGCATCTGATGCCTGCCTTGCAAGAAAAGGGTTGGCTTTGCCTGTCAGGCTCTCTATCTCAAAAAGATCTGAACTCGCATCACTATCTGACTCATTATTGTAGATCACTCCACCAGAATTTGCAGGAAACTCATCCCAAGGCAGCATTGAAAACAACCAAAGACAGCTACAATGGCCCTACCTCTCAAAAAGACCAACTTTAAGAATTACATCACCTAGGTTTTAGTTAGCCTTCCCAACAAGTTGAAGGAGCTTCTTTTTATGTATTGTGAAAGTTCCAGTTTTCTACATGCCACGATTTATATCCGCAAACTCTTCAACCATCCCATCAATCAACCTAGAGAGAGAGAGAGAGAGAGAGAGAGAGATTTAGATTGCAATATTTTGCCATACAAGTTCTCCAGAGAATTTGAAATGCAGCAGTGCTGGTTTATGTAAAAAGCAAGATAGAAACACAATGCTGTATAAGAATGACCACATACCTCTTCATACGGTGGGAAAAATAACAAATAAACAAAGAATAGCTGGCTGATTGGCAAACTAACCTGAGGAGTTCCTAAACTACTGATTCAGGACAACACATTTAAAATTGCTTAAAGCAAATTAGTATAAAAATCAGTTCAAAATCCCTCTTATTATTGCTCAAAGAAGAAAAAATGAATGCATCAAACTGCCTAATGCCCCAAAGATGATTTCTTTATATCTATATATCATGAGATGAGACATGCAGAATATCTGAAGAAGGAAATTTAATTACAACAAGAACTTCAACAGTGTTGAAGAATTCACATTTGACAGCGAACAATTGGAAAGAAGAGACCGGTCGCTTATGTTATGGCGACGGATCCGATTTGTGAATTCAGAGCATAGAATAAAAGGATTTAATTAAAACGACTAGCAAATAGTCAGCATGTTGAAAACAAAAGCATAAAGAAATGTTCATTAAGGAAAGTCATTAGCTAGAAGAAAAGAAACTATATGTAATGTATCTTCATATGCTACACCTACAGATGAGTGAAATATTCCAAGAAATACGTTTGTTTGTTTTGTAATGTTTGTGGATGAGCAAACAATGGCAAAATTATCATCAGAGTCAGAGGTGAGGGAAATAAATTAATGTTCCTGACGATTGATACAGGACAGGTGGACAAATTGGCTTGTGGAGGATAGTCATAGTTTTAGTTTAGTAGTGAAGAATTTACCATTCAGCTTAGTTCGGCACTGGCAGGCATTTTGTTATCACTAAGTAAAAATTAGCTTTTCCTTTCTTCTGGAATCAATGGCCTTTATATATATATATCTTATATGCAGACTATGTTCCTGAAGGTTCAGGTTCAGGTTCAGGTTCATTCATATTCATATCATAGTGAGGGCAGGCAGTCAGGCAGACAATTTCAAATTTTATTATTTTCATGCCTTGCCTTAACTTTCTTTTGTTAATTAATATTCTTTCCTTTCCAGGACTAGCAAAAGCTATACCTGTTAGTGTGTGTTTAATACTTGTATAATACAAGTATGCATGTATTTTTCAAAAATACTTCCATTTTTCATACACTTCTTAAAACTCAGTAAAATACACGCTTTATAAAAATCAAACATACAATAGATGTATTATAAACGTACATACGTATTCTTCACGTTTAATACACACGTTTCTTTACAAAAGGTTACCTTCCTTTTGCATGAAATTGGGCCATTTGTGAAATTTTAAGCCCAAAAATTTGAAATTTTAGTTGGGTTTTGTAATAAACAAAATTTTAAAAATTCAAAAGCAACAAAAGCAGAGACACAAAATTAGGTTGGGTTGGGACGCATTCAGCTTCACCCAACACGACGCGGATGAGACTTTACGCCCGCCATAACATAAGTTAAGCAGGCACAAAAACTGCAACTGCGGGCAGGCAGGCGTTGGCGGACAAGACCCACTGATGAGGGAGGTTGAGGTTGGGTACGGATCCAATGAGTCTATCGGTAGCGGAGCAACAAGACCCGGTGCTGCTCCATTACGTCGATGCAGCATCTCAAAAGTTGCAGAAAGCTCGTCGATTTCATGGAGGTAAGTTAGTTTTCAAAATTTATCCTTTTATTTATTTATTTGGATTTCACTCTGATTAAGATTAATCAACCAATCTCTATTCAATTTAAAAGTTTGGATGTTAATTAATATGGTTTGGTTGATTGATGAAGGCGATTAATTTTCAACTTTTGAACTTAAAGGCGATTAATTTTCGCTAGCATCTAGTCTAGACACTAGAGGAAGGGATTTCCTAATTGTTTCGTTTAACAAAAAAAACCGATAAGCTTTTAATTAATTACTTTAATTCTTGTTAGGATTTCCTTGTTGATGTTGGAAAATGGTTTCCGTATTCTTAAGGGAGATTTGTTTTCAATGCCTTTTCCTTTTTGATGTTGGAAAATGGTTTCCTTATTCTTAACGGAGATTTGTTTTCAATGCCCTTTCCTTGTTGATGTTGGAAAATGGTTTCCTTATTCTTAAAGGAGATTTGTTTTCACTGTTTTGTTTATTTAAATAAAGAGTTCACTTCACTTCTCCTCATCATCAACTACTATCTATCAAAGCACTCTTCTCTGCATCACAAGCATACAATTATACCCTGCTGCAGTTTCTTTCTTTGTTCTTCTCTGTTCTGGTTTTGCCTTTCGCTTGTGTTTCAAATTCAAAATTAAAGTTTCACAGCAAAGAATTCATTTTATGTCCACTTATAAGTTTGATAAGAACCCCTGTCGTCGTCGTAGGACAACGGCTGTCAGCTTCAGCAATGGGGAATGGGCAAGTTATCCAGCACTTGTATTTTTTATTCTGGATAAGTTATTAGAACCCATTGATCATGTCCGTTTTGCTGCCGTCTGCAAGAAATGGCGTTCTATGTCCAAACTCTATAATCAGGCAACGCAGCGGTGGCACAACAAACAACTTCTCCCCATGCTCTTGACCCCGAACCAGGACAAAGACAACGACCGAAGAGTATTGTACAGCATTTCTGAAGGAAGAATCTACAACAATATTCAACTGCAAGTTCCTTTTAGGAGGAGGTGTAGTGGCTCTTGCCATGGCTGGTTTGCCACAGTTGATCCAACAGACCAAGGTGTAGTGACCGTAACACTCAGGAACCCTTTCACAAAAGCAAATCCCATTTATCTCCCTCCCTTGAATGCCCATGTCTCAGTTTTTGAACCATCCTACTATGAGCATTATGTTCCTAAGGTTATCTTGTCCGCTGACCCCACTCTGAATCCGGAGAATTATGTGGTTGTAGCACTTTACCGTTGCTGGTTTGAGTTGGCTTTCATCAAGGCAGGCCAAAACGTTTGGACCTACGTCAACCCTGCTGCAATTTCATATGGTGATGTTATATTCTATAAAAGCCAAGTGTATGCAGTTACATCATTTGGAGCC